GCATAAAGGAATCGATATCCTCATAAAGCTTCAGTCATTTGGGAAATATTTCATGTCATAACTGAAGCAGTTTAGAGTCCTCTACAGTTTCTCTTTCAGTGTATTACATTTTCGACCTGCCACTGGCTTCCGGTCTATGCTTCCGTTCTCATGCTTTCATCTATTCTTAACCATTCTATTGAAAAGCTTGCAGGCAAAGATTGGCACTCTACCTGGGGATATATTGTTAATTTCCTCGTTCCTGTCGTACGTGGGCTGCTTTACGCGTCGCTATCGCGAGGAGCTGCAGCACAAGATGTGGCTGCCGAGCTTTTGTAAGATGGACGTGAGTAGTTGTTGTTGCTGACTCCTCAGAGGCTCAGTTACTTAGCTGTTTGCATTTGTTGTATGCATGGCATGGACATAGCCCCAGATACCCCACACGCAGGGCGTCGACCCACTGGCGCTGCTGTCGGACGACGCACAAATTGCCACCTGGAATAATGAGGGATTGCCCATGGACGGCATGTCCACGGAGAATGCAACAATACTGCAGCACTCAACGCGCTGGCCACTGATGATTGATCCCCAGCTGTGAGTATCATCGTCAGCTCGGGCTTATGCCATAATTGAGCGAGCCTGGCGACAGTCGACTACGGGCTTATCCATATTTAATAAGTGAAGAGCATTAACACGGTGAGTAACACTTTGGTTCATTTAATTCCCCTGCTTGCAGTCAGGGCATCAAGTGGATCAAGAGCCGCTTTGGAGCCGCCCTGGTGGTGCTGCGTATGACGCAGCGTGGCTTTCTGGAGGCACTGGAGAAGTCCATCTCGCGCGGCGACACAGTGCTCATCGAGCAAATTGAAGAGTCCATGGACACTGTGCTCGAGCCGCTGCTCAGCCGCGCGCTAATCAAAAAGGGTCGATATCTGCGCATCGGCGAACGGGAAATGGAGTTCAATCCGAATTTCCGTCTCATATTGCACACGAAGCTCGCCAATCCGCACTACAAGCCGGAAATGCAGGCGCAAACGACGCTGATTAACTTCACGGTGACACCGGACGGACTGGAGGAGCAGCTGCTGGCGGAAGTGGTGAAGATTGAACGCCCGGATCTGGAGCAGATGAAGACCGAGGTGACGATTCAGCAAAACATGTTCAAAATCTCGCTGAAGGCGCTCGAGGACGAGCTGCTCGCCAGGCTGGCCTCCGCCGGCGAGAACGTGCTCGAGGACCATGCGCTGGTGCTCAACTTGGAGAACACCAAGCGCACCGTGGACGAAATCGAGTCCAAGGTGCGGGAGGCGCACCTAACCACGCTCCAGATCGACGAGACCCGAAACATTTACCGAGCCGCCGCCAAGCGGGCGGCCATTTTGTACTTTGTGCTGACGGATCTGAATCGCATCAATCCCATATACAAGTTCTCCCTGAAGTCCTTCATGAATGTCTTTCGGCAGGCCATAGCCGTGGCGCCGGCATCCAAGAGCTATGAGAAGCGCGTGCTCCACTTGGTCGACTCGATCACGCTGCAGACGTACCGCTATACGCTGCGCGGCCTCTTCGAGGCGGACAAGCTGACGTTCAGCTCGCACCTGACGCTGCGCATCATGATCGCCGCCGAGCAGGTGGCCAAGGATGAGACAGACTTTCTGCTGCGCTATCCGCACGACCCCAACACCCTCTCCCCGCTGGACTTTGTGGGGCGCAGTGCCTGGGGCGGCATCAAGTCGCTGGCGCTCGTCGAGCACTTCTACGGCATCGACAAGGACATGGAGAACTACACCAAGCGCTGGCGCAAGTTCGTGGCCAGCGATACGCCCGAGCGGGAACAGTTCCCGGGCGAGTGGAAGCATCGCACCCCGCTGCAGAAGCTTTGCATTATCAGAGCCCTGCGGCCCGACCGCATGACCTATGCGATGGCCCAGTTTGTGGAGCAGACGATGGGGCGGGCCTATGCCGAGGTGCAGACGCCGCCGTTTGGGGCCATCTTCAAGGAGCTGAACGCTGCCACGCCCGCCTTCTTTATACTGTCGCCGGGCGTGGATCCCATACGTGATGTGGAGCGCCATGGGCAGCAGCAGGGCTTCCATGCGGATGCCGGAACTCTGGTGAATATCTCTTTGGGCCAGGGGCAGGAGCTGCTGGCCGAGGCAGCCATGGAGCAGGCACTGGCCTCCGGTCAGCAGTGGGTCATACTGCAAAACATTCATCTGGTGGTGAACTGGTTGCCCACCCTGGAGAAGCTAATCGAGCGCATTGTGCTGCAGTCCGAATCTCAGGGGGACTCGAATTTCCGCTTGTTCATTAGCGCCGAGCCAGCTCCGGATCCGCAATACCATGTCATACCCCAGGGCATTTTGGAGTCCTCCCTCAAGGTGGTGAACGAGCCGCCCGCAGGGATGGCCGCCAACCTGCACAAGGCCTGGGACAACTTCACGCAGGAGACGCTGGAAACGTGCACCCAGGAGGCGGAGTTCAAGTCAATACTCTTTGCCCTCTGCTACTTCCATGCAGTGGCCGGCGAGCGGCGCAAGTTCGGGCCCCAGGGCTGGAACAAGGTGTATCCCTTCAACATCGGCGACCTGACCATCTCGGCCAGCGTGCTGCACAACTACCTGGAGGGCAGCAGTCGCATTCCGTGGGAGGATCTGCGCTACCTTTTCGGCGAGATCATGTACGGCGGCCACATAACCGACGACTGGGACAGACGACTCTGCCAGACGTTCCTGGAGGAGCTGCTGCAGCAGGATCTCATCGATGGAGACTTTGAGCTGTGTCCCGGCTTCCCAGCGCCGCCCAATCTGGAATTCGAGGGCTACCACGACTACATCACCGAAATGCTGCCCGATGAGTCACCGCTGCTCTATGGCCTGCATCCCAATGCCGAGATCGGATTCCTCACCAGCGCCTCGGAGCAGCTGCTGCGCACCATCTTTGAGCTGCAGCCGCGCGAGTCCGAGCTCAGCTCGCATTGCGGCGCGCCGCGCGAGGAGCTGGTCAAGATCATGATCGACGACTTCCTCGACAAGCTGCAGGACGAGTTCAATCTGCAGGCCCTGCTCAACCGCGTGGAGCGCAAGACGCCCTTTGTGGTGGTCGCCCTGCAGGAGTGCGAGCGCATGAATGCGCTCATTCGGGAAATCAAGCGCTCGCTGCGTGAGCTGATGCTGGGGCTGAAGGGGGAGCTGACCATCACGCAGGAGATGGAACGGCTGGACTATGCCATCTTCTACGATCACGTGCCGACGGCCTGGGCCCAGCTGGCGTACCCCAGCATGCTGGGCCTGCAGGGCTGGTTCGCTGACCTGCTGCATCGCATCAAGGAGCTGGCCGGCTGGCTGAACGACTTCAAGCTGCCCTGCGTCATCTGGCTGGGCGGGCTCTTCAATCCCCAGAGCTTCCTCACGGCCATCATGCAGGAGAGCGCGCGCAAGCATGATCTGCCCCTGGACCGCATGCTGATCAGCTGCGACGTCACCAAAAAGCAAAAGGACGACGTCACGTAACTAGCCGCAGTCGAAAGCATATCCATATCCTTATTGACCTCGCTTGCTTTCAGATTGCCCCCCATAGAGGGCGCCTTTGTGCACGAGCTGTATTTGGATGGCGCCAGCTGGGACTGCCAGCTAAACTCGATTGTGGCCCTGCACCCCAAGGAGCTGCTCTGCGCCATGCCCGTCATCTACATCAAGTCCATTGTCCAGGAGAAACAAGAGCTGCAGCGCGTCTATGAGTGTCCCCTGTACAAGACCAGGTGAGAGGCGAGGCGACGCACATTGTTACCGCAGCTATAGCCAGCTATGCACATCTATCTGCCTGCATCCAATCTGTTGCAGGTCGCGTGGCAACACCTACGTATGGACGCTCAATCTGAAAACACGCGACCGTCCGGCCAAATGGATTTTAGCAGGAGTCGCGCTTTTGTTGCAGCCATAAAGCATTATTGAACCACCCATTGTTGGCCACGTCATTCCCGTCATCCACTCCAGCTACAGCTACAGCTACAGCGGAACGACGACAGCGAGAGCTTTTGTGTCGACTTCCTCTGAGCTAATTCATTAAATATATATATTTGTTTATACATTTATATGTATGTATATAAGTATGTAGCACAGCTGCGGTAATAAGCACTAAGTACTAAATGTTGAATCAAAAGGCAGAGACTAA